GGGTGGTGGGTCTTTCTCAGCACTGTAGTGACACTGACGTGGTGGTGGTGTGTTAGTGTGTGTTGCGCTGGTCTGAGTGGATCAGACACAGCAGTGCTGCTGGAGTTTTTAAACACTGTGTCCACTCACCGTCCACTCTATTAAACACTCCTACCTTGTCAGTCCACCTTGTAGATGTAAAGTCAGAGACAGTAGCTCATCTGCTGCTACACAGGTTGCGTTGGTCATCCTCTTGTCCTTCATCAGTGGTCACAGGACGCTGCCCACAGGACGCTCTTGGCTGGATATTTTTGCTTGGTGGACTATTCTCAGTCCAGCAGTGACACTGAGGTGTTTAAAAACTCCAGCAGCACTGCTGTGTCTGATCCACTCAGACCAGCGCAACACACACTAACACACCATCACCACGTCAGTGTTACTGCAGTGCTGAGAATGATCCACCACCCAAATAGTACCTGCTCTGTGGTGGTCCTGTGGGGGTCCTGACCACTGAAGAACAAAGTGAAAGGGGGCTAACAAAGTATGCAGAGAAACAGATGGACTACAGTCTGTAATTCTACACATAAACACACACACACACACACACACGTACATATATAGATACACACAGACATATATGTGTGTATATATATATATATATATATATATATATATATATATATATATATATATACATACACACACATAAATACACATTTGCACGTTTCTTCACAACATTAATGCATGTGCTGCGTTCCCTCATGACGATGTATGATTATCGCGCTTTATGAGATGTCTAGTGCCCGTCTCTCTCTCTCTCTCTCTCTCTCTCTTTCTCTCTCTCTCTCTCTCTCTCTCCCCTTTTCACGTTCTCTCTCTTCTTGCATGGGATTGGTTGTAGGTGGGCTGCGCGCGCCGCGTCCTTCAGCGAGCCCTCCTTCCCGCCTTGAGTAGCGATGCGGAGTTCAATTCAGTTGACAGAGCCGATTCTTTCCAACTGTCTGATTCCATGAATCGAACGTCCCCTTTAACGATTCACTGAACGCCAAGTTTATTATCCTCTCCTCCACACAGCGCGGCTTGATTCACTGAGTGAGTCTGATGTTCTCAAGGAGTGATGTCTGCTACTCACGGAGAGAGTCGGATTGGTCTCTCCTTGGCTGATATAAACATTATTTCAAACTGTCTTCGTTCAGTGAATCAAATGTCTAAATCCAGAATTCATTATCTTTTTGGGCTTTGTGGGGCCCAAAAGATACAAACACACAACAGAAAGAAAGAGGAAGGCAGCTACAGAGACTAAATGAAAGCAAAGTGTTCTTGATATGTAACACTGTGGTATTCAATGTTGGTGTTTTATATGGTTAGACTGTGAAACATGAGTATTCAGATTTTATCACAAGTGTTTAGCCATGCCACCGATTTTTCAAAACGTCTGCATTTCTCAGTGGTTGAGATATAAGCAGAGTCATCCTGTGTTGTTTGATGTAAATGGTTCATCTGCAGATAAATTTACTGACTCGTATTTCTTTACAGTGGTGGTGATAGGAACCAGACGTCACGATCTTTACAACACACATATGGCTGCTTTATTTACAATCCAAAACCACGGGTGAACCTACACGAGTCTTCTGAGCTTTTATTTGTAATGCTGATGATGGCAAAAGAGTTGTAAATCTGGAAAAAAAATGTTTTCTATGGAGACCTAGAACAGCCTTCATGCATCCAATCTCCACGAATGGATTAAAATAAATTGATTAAAATACGTTTTAGCATAAATCTACCATAAAACAATGTATCAGGCATCAGGCTGAGTGTTTATAATCATTTCATGCAATACATTTCTGTCAGGGAGCTTTTAGAGGTGGAGGTCTAGTTCCTATCACCACCACTGTGAACAATTTTGACTCTGTAAGTTTTTCTAGAACGAAGCACTTCACACCAAACCACTCGGAATGACTCTTCACATCATAACCATTTTATTGTGCAGAAATTTTGAAAAATCGATGGAGTTCCCCTTTAACACAGCGTGGACGTTACAAGAAGAGCTCGACTCCCTTGTTCTCAACCGATTCGATTAACTTAACGGAAAAGAAGCGGTTCAAAAGAACCGATTCGTTCACGAGTCGTTTATCGCTAGCGTTGATATAGAGAGTGAGGGAGAGCGCGCGCGCTAGCTGGCTAACGAATTTTCAAATGAATCATCTTCGCTTTTCTCTCTCTGTTAGCTGACACTGTTTTTGGTCGCCTTTTATAAGTCCACGTCAAGGAAACGGCCGTATTTGAGGTAAGAGTGAAAATATAACAGGATTTGTGTACGTTTTGGTCATTTTTTTGTATTTTTATTATTTATTTATTTAGGTTGGGTGTCAGGTTTGTGAAGAAACGTTGGGATTCGGTTAACGGCTTGTGGCTGTAACGGTCGCCGTTTGTGCTGAGGGAGCTGAAATGGACTTAAAATGCAGGAGAAAGGGGTATTTTAGGGCTAAATTATGTCTTATAAATAATAACTACGAAGCCAAGACATCACTGCTTATATTTCAGCGCCTTGTAGAGTGTTGCAGTGGGCTGAATGAAAGGCAGAGTCTCACGAACCTGATTCGCCAGCTTCTTGTTCGAATTTTCCCGTTCCACCTTAAAAATAGTGCAGCAGTTGCATTCGGGCGCCAGGCGCCAGAACGTAAGCGCTGCACCATTTAAGGTGGAACGGGAAAATTCGAACAAGAAGCTGGCGAATAAGAAACTGACTTGAGCTTGTCGAGTGTTTTATGTGCTGGCCTGTACCTCAAGGCTGAAGGATAGAGATTTCAGCACATATTGACTTTGTGACCTGGTGAGTTTATTTTTTATGCATCAAGCGGTGTTATAATGGAATTACTTTTTGCCCTGTGTGGAAGAAGTCAGACCCCTGGCTCTGTGGGATGGTACTGATGTAAACTAACGTTAGTTCTCCTTTATAACAGGTTGCAGAGGCTGAAACGGACATGGCGTTTTCACACTAAAACACCTAAAATCACCGCTGCACATAAAGGCATACTTAAGCAGGGAGCTTGAAGTCACTTGGGATGGTAGACTAGCAAAAGCATTGTGCTGAACTGTATAAAACTGCAGTATTTTATACCTGCAGTAAACGGGACAATGACTAGAGAAGGCGCCTTGTGTGTCCCTCAGATATTTATGATAGAAAAATGTACAAAATGTCAAAATAGACTGAGATAAAATGACAGCTACTATAACTAGTGTTTTATGGCTAACCACAAGGAACTTCCTCAGATGTCCAGTCCATGCACACTTAAAAAAGATGGTACTTCAAGGGTTCTTCAGTAATATAGGACCAAAAAGTGTTCATCTATTGTTACAATGTCAAGCTTGTAACAATTGCAGAACCCTTTTTGGTGCTATACAGAGCACTTTTCAGAAAGGTGCTATATAGAACCGTATACAACACATTTTGTCTGAAGGACCCTTTCATGACGCAAAGAACTTTTTAATCATGGTAAGGGTTCTTTAAATGTTCATGGTTCTCTATACAACAATTTTCTTTACTAAAGAACCCTTGAAGAACCATCTATTTTAAGTGTGTGCCATGTCCAGTCTATTACAGAAGCTGACCATAACATTAAAAAAACTTATTCTTATCTACACTCATTATCCATTTTATCAGCTCCACTGACCTTATAGGAGCACTTTGTAGTTCTACAATTACAGACTGTAGTCCATCTTCTTTCTCTGCATGGTCAGGACCACCACAGAGCAGGTATTATTTGGGTGGTGGATCATTCTCAGCACTGCTGTGACACTGCTTTAAACACCTCAGTGTCACTGCTGGACTGAGAATAGTCCACCAACCAAAAATATCCAGCCAACAACGTCCTGTGACCACTGATGAAGGACTAGAGGATGACCAACACAAACTGCGCAGCAACACCTGAACTACTGTTTCTGACTTTACATCTACAAAGTGGACCAACAAGATAGAAGTGTCTAATAGAGTGGACAGTGAGTGGACACAGTGTTTAAAACTCCAGCAGCACTGCAGTGCTGAGAATGATCCACCACTCATAACAAAGTATGCAGAGAAACAGATAGACTACAGTCTGTAACTGTAGAACTATAAAGTGCTCCTGTTTGGTCACTGAGGCTGATAAATTGGACAGTGAGTTTAGATACAAGGAAGTAGTTTTAATGCTATGTTTGCTTCTTCTAAGTTAGCTTCTTTCCTTTTGCACTGGACCTACAAGGGTAACAAATAATGGAGGCTTATACCAGGTATGCACTGATATGGGAATTGTGGGCTAATGCAGTTATCAGATAATGTACATATCTGCCAATATGGCAACATAAACATACCTGTTTATGAAATGCCAAAATTAGGACAATATCTAACTGGATTGGTATTATGTAGAAGCATAACAGCTTTGCAGCCCAGCCCCCTTACCCTAACCTTGCTCTTCTGGAGTACAAAAAATGTATATTTGTCATATCTAAACATCTTTCCGATGTGCGATCATTTTTTAAAGCAATTAGTTGCTGATACTGATATGATTTCTACATCATTGTACATTAGAACTTTAGTTATACCCTTAGTTATACTCTACCAATTAGCGAATGGACAAAAGTATGAACAAAGTTCAGGCTCTAATATAACTGCTGCTACTGTTGTAGCCATATGACACACGTTTTAAGATAACAGTATGTCCCGCAGGGTCAGAAAGCACATAAACAAGTCTATATGACATTGCTTAACAGCTTGACACGATATGTGTGTGTGAAGATTTAGAAATGAAGTTCACATGATTGATGGGGTGTAAACCTGTTAGTTACATTAGCCACGTAGCTTCAGTGCAAAACTAACAAAACAAACTTCAGACACCAAACATGTCTTGGCTGATCAACTGCATTTGGGGAAAAGAGGAAAACTGGGTAAATTTAGATTTTTCACTGAACTATTGTTTTAAAACTGGGTCAGTCAGCAGCTGAACGCTTTGCTTGAGTGTAATTGGCTTCTCTCTTCTCCGTAGCTTTAGCGGCTGTCTTTTGGAGAAGCTGTTGTGCATTGGCTCTGGATCATGGCGCAGACCAACAGCTTCGGCCAGACCAGCAACGGAGAAGCAGACGACTCTCCCAACATGCTGGTCTATAGAAAGGTAGTGCTGTTAAATGAAACCCTTCACATTTCTGGTTTGTTTTTGAGGAGATCCATAGAGAGCCTCAGGAAACCTAAAGAAAACTCAGTTAGAATTCAGGATCTTGGTAAATGTTCAGCTCCAGCTGAGGGAAATAGGACTGTGTATTAAAATTTGATACTCCTAAGGTATTTCCTCATAGTATCAAAAACTTCCATGCCGTTTAGTCTTCAAAAGCAATTTCAGAAGCAAAGCCACGTCCACATACTTGACACATTAAAAACCAGTGTTATAGCGACGTTTTCATAATTCAGCTAATAGGACACTTGAGCTGTACAGAAAATACAAAGCAAGCAAATCATACACAGCAGAGACATGGGAGTTTACTCTACTGTAGCCTTTTAAAATCCCCATTATAACTCAAAGTTTTAACAGTAAAAGTGAATAAAATATTATGCGCACATATTACTTCATATTATTTGTTACCTTTTTCTGATACAGTTTCCCGGATGTAGACGGGGATTAGAAGAACTTTCTCTCCATGTTAGAACTTGCTGCTCTAGGGTAAAACGCAGTCACTTTAGCTTGTTTTTTATTGTGGGGAGTTATACTGAAGCAAGCTGAAGTTCGAAAGCATGTTGCCCGTTATTTTCAGTTACGTGCAAGTTACATTTAACGAAAAGTAAAATAAGTTACATTTAATGAAAAGTAAAATAAGTTACATTTAACGAAAAGTAAAATAAGTAGAAGGTGAAGAGCTGTGCGTTATGTAAAGCTAGCATTGCAGCGCGTAGCAGAGGGAACTAATAGGCACCATCTCTCTCTTCAACAGAAAAATTTTACTACTGAAGCGTGCACACTCCTTAAACCTGAACCCGAATTTCCCAATATTTTTACAAGCTGTTTAATGTTAAGATTCTCCGTTCTTTTCCCAAAACTGTGACTATCGCCTTTTACACATCACCATCGGATTGCTTGTCCATCATCGCTCTATCACACAGGCGGTGTACCAAATTCTAGCACCTAGGTAGTCAGTCGTAGCATCCGTCAGCCAATAAGTATGCATTGTCCACTGGCTGTCTGAATTACATTCTGCATGCATATTATTACGTGTTTAGGCTGATGCACCTCACACTCATTTTCGGTTTATGCTACATCCACTCCTGGTTTGTAATTAAAGAAAAGTATCAAAAAAGCACTGTTCATGAATTAGTATCGAAGTTAAGATATCGTATTGGTATCAGCCTCAGAGGTGACCAGGCAAGCCATGATTTTTTTCTGTTTGCTTTTAGGTGTGAAGGAACTCTTTACAAGTAAGAAAGAGTGAAAACTAGTGTGGACCAGTCAGCATGATGTTTTCTAGATCACTGTTTTGCAAAAGTACATGCTTATGTTTTGAAATAATATTTGTGAGCAAAACCAGCCTGTGTAATATATAATCAGAGCTCTGTTGAATCAAGACCATTTTAACGTGTAAAATAACAAAACCTCAAAATCAATGAATCTTGACCTCAGAATGGAAAATCTTGAACCTGAAAATAGGATTTTTGCATTCCTACTGATTAACATTACTGACTGGATGAGATCCTGAAAGATTGCAGTTCTCTGTGCTGAATCTTCCTTCAGCAGCTGATGTGCTCTGCAGGCAGGTGGATTGTGGGTAGGGTGCCGGCGAACATGCGGGCCGATAATTAGAGAACTCCAGTTGAGATGAGGTGAGATTGGCTCTGTCTGGGAAGAGAGCTCAGGCTTTTGGGTGTAAGCCAGACCAAAATCCTTTTGTTCTGACTCACTTTCAAACCACTGTTGTGACTGTATATAGCGCAACAACCCGTGTAAATGTAGGGAAGACTGCTTTCTGGTTTTCTCACTGTTGTTCTCCATGTATCTCTCTGTGTTTTCGGATTGAGCCATTTGCATCAATGGCAAGGGAATTGATTCATGATTGTTTCATTAATGCAAAACTATGTCATTACTAGAACATCTCACCCATACATGCTAATAATTACTGTAAACTATAAGGAGTCACAGTTTATGAAACTATAAGACTCAGCCAGCATTCTGAAAAAAACATGCTAACAGGTCCAAACTAGCGTTCTTTACCTTTAGCATGTGTGAGTGAAGTATTCCTTTAATATGAAACTATCCAGTAGTATAATTCACTTATGAATGGGTGTTCATGTGAATGAGGCTTGTGATTCATGCTTATTGTAGTGTATATTGTACTTTTTGTCAGGCTACAATTAAGTCTGATGAGTGATTAAAACACGCTCTGTTTTTATCAACTTGTAACTGAGAGAACTACAGGAGCAATAATTCCATTTTGATTCTTACAAATGACCAGAAAAAGTTCTCTTGAATGGTGAATATCAATAGGCAATCTGTGTGCATTCTTTTCAGCGTGAAAGCATTAATTAACAGTAGAAGTCAAGGAGACGCAACTCCGACAGAACTAGAACATGCAGCCGAGCCGTCTCACTGCTCTTTGCTCCGCACCGGAGCATGTTGGGTTTAACTCAGTTTCTCCCCAGGTGGGACCCATGCGTGTTGTCAGAATGCCTCAGTCAAATTGAGCTGGAGAGAAAGTGAATCATTTCACTGTCAGAGGCCGCCGAGGCTTTCTTCAGCATTTTGTTGTTCCTTTCTCTCTCTCTCTGTCTCTCTTTTCATTTCATTTCCTTCACCCTCCAGTTAATTTCCACATTTCCTCTGAGCCACCTCATTCCCATTACCGGAGGCAGACACACACACAGGCACAGAGATACGTGAAGAGGCCCAGTGCAAGGGACCCCCTGCCTAACATTGTAGATGAACACACAATCTTTGTTTGTTTCCACAGCTCATCAGACATGGCTGACCCAATTACTGAACCAGTACCTAATGCCTGGACTCTTACGGCTGGCTTTTTACAGGCTGACACAACTGGAAAGAAAGAAACAAATTTTCTTTTTCATAAAGTTACTTCTCACTATGCATATATTATTCTAGTCCATTACTGTTTCTTTTACTTCAGTCATTGCTTTGAAGAGCCGAACATGAAGAACATACATGTAAGCTTATTTGAAATTACTGAAAATGATTTGAAAATCATTTATTTAATTTCTGAATAATTAAATAATTGATTATCATGTATACAAGCTTATTCAGATTGGTTTGATGTAAAGTGCTTCATTATAGAGAAACTTACCAAGTCAGAATTGTTTTCGGCAATAGGAACCAGACTTCCAAAGTGTTTAATGCCTCTTAAAGCTCCCTGACAGAAATCTATTACATGAAATGTTCAGGAATACACTATATGGACAAAAGTATTGGGACACCTACACATAACACCCACAGGAGCTTTTATGACATCTTACTCGAAATCCATAAGCATTCTTATGGAGTTGCCCCCCGCTTGCAGCTATAACAGCTTCCACTCTTCTGTGAAGCTTTCTACAAGATTTTGGAGAGTGTCTGTGAGAATTTTTGTCCATTCATCCAGAAGAGCATTTGTGAGGGCAGACACTGATGTTGGATGAGAGGGCCTGGCTCACAATCTCTGTTTTAGTTCATCCCAAAGGTGTTCGATGAGGTTGAGGTCAGGGCTCTCTAAGGGTCAGTCAGGTTCTTCCACACCAAACTCACCCAACCATGTCTTTATGTGCACTGGGACTCAGTCATGCTGGAACAGAAAAAGGCCCTCGCCAAACTGTTCCCACAAAGTTGGAAGCATAGAATTGTCCAAAATGTCTTGGTCAGCTGAAGCGTTAAGATTTCCCTTCACTGGAGCTAAGGGGCCTAGACCAACCCCTGAAAAACACCCTCATAGCATTATCCCTCCTCCACCAGACTTTACAGTTGGCACAATGCGGTCCATAAGTCGGCCAGATAGAGAAGCATTACTCCACAGAATGCATTTCCACTGCTCCAGGGTAGCATGATTTACCCCACTCAGATCTAGCAGGACAGAAATTTCACAAACTGATTTGTGGCAGAGGTGGCGTCCTATAATACTGCCATGTTTAATGTCACTGAGCTCATCAGTACAATCCATTCTACTGCCAGTGCTTGTCTATCGAGACTGCAGGACTATTTGCTTAAATTTATCCACCTGTTAGCAATGGGTGTGGCTGTATCCCAATACTTTTCATGCTGCCTGAGACATTGTTTTATGAAAGTTTTGCTGTAAGATTTTGTTGTATTTTTAAAATCCATTCAGGGCAGATAGGTACATGAAGGATGTTGAAAGACAAAAATAGTCCCCAAAGAGAACTTATTTGATCAGATTTGATCAGTATTTTCTCATCATCAACATTACATATAAAAACTTCATTTTGCTAATAATAACACTTTCCTAGCTAGCTTGTATTGCTTGTGTTGTTGATTGTGCTCCGGACGTTAAAAGAGCATGTGCTAGACAGGCATGTCAAACTAGTTCCTTACACCTTTACATCTTCCCTCGGCTGTCGCTCTGAATCCAGTTCACGACAGCCTTGCTAATTAGCCTGTGAGGACTGGAATTTTGGAGTCTGACAGGTGCAGACTAGAGGAGCAGGGTTTTAGAGGCTTGGACACTTGTTAGCGGTGGATTTCACTACAGTCCAGCACCAAAAGTTTAATACGTTGTCCCCAGATGTGTGTTTATGTTATGAAATTAAGCCTGGCCCTGTGAGACTATATAACCCCTGGATCCTATCTCTACCACTGTAAAGAAATTGCTAAGTATTTCATTTCAAATCACTCTGAATGACTTTCTTTATGTCTCAGTGAAAGAATTGCAAACATTTTGAGGATGGGTGAAATTAAGGAATATCTGCGATCATTTAGACTTGCAGTTAGCACAGTGCTAATTGGTATACATTCATTACTGTGGTAGCCTTGTAGATCCAGCGCAAAATTTTAATTAAATAATTTTAATTTTGTTGTAAGCAAGGAAAAGTTAAAAGGTCACTTTTCTGAGCACAGTAGTCTTTTGCATTTGGCGTCTAGCCGTAGTTAGCAGACAGGACAGGGGTGCTGGTGAAAGTGGGGCACATCAAGTC